GGGTCCCTGGGCTCTGCTGGGTCCCCGGCGGGGGTGGTCGCCCCTGGGTCCCGGGTCGCTGGTTCCCGGGCTCGGACGGCTAGGGGGTGGGAGGCTGCGGGCGGGCCTGTGGGCTTGCCGCTGATATCTCCCGGGACTCTGCCGGCTGCTGGTTGTGGCCCCCCGGGGCGATCCTCTGTGCCTCTCGAGGGGGGCGGGGGCCTTTCTGGTTGCAGTATCCTTGGGATTCCTGTGTTCTGGGGCAGCGCCTGGATCTCTGGGACTTGGAGCTCCCCCCATCTCGTACACATCTTTGGGGGGCAAATCTGTGGTCCCTCACACTCTATTGGACGCTTTTATAGAGAAACCTTACATAAACAAGTGCGTGTACACACACAGGTGCTCACATGGTGCTCTCAAAAGTATGGGCTTGGGCACGTTCAACACATGTCTTAAGGCTGTCGTTGCCACTAAATGCACTATGATTTATTGTGTGATTGTTCAGTTAAATAATGTTGATTTTATATTTCATCATCAGGTTGACGCGGTGATAGCTTGCTCCTGATGTATTGTGTGTCCCATTTTTTTCTATTCTTTCTCTTTCTGCAGGTCTAGAAGCAGACTCTTGTTCATTATTGTTTATTTTTGTGTCCAGTATATATGTCGATGGTATGATCTGATGCTTGCAGAGATGTAGCTAGCTGCTAATAATTCCTCCTTTAGCTTGTTGATTTAAACTTTTGGAACACAGATAAAATAGATTTGAGTTTCAGTAGTTTGTATAAAATATGTTTTGGCTTTCCCATTATACTACTAACTATGCTGTTAACACTCCGTAGTAATTTTTAAGTGGTACGTTTTATTTTCAATCAATCAATCAATCAAAGCTTTATTTATAAAGCGCCTTCCGCAACCCTGTCAGGAAGCCCAAGGCGCTGAACATGGTACAGTAGAAGTACAAATATAGTGAATAAATCAAAAATAAAAGCAATTCAAAAATAAAAGCAATTCAAATTACAAATTACAAAAAAAGGTGAAACATTCTAGTACAGGACAGATGGATAAAACAAGGGATAGAGTGAACCAATGAAAACTGTGAAATAAATTCAACATAAAAGAGGGCCGAATCAAACATGTTCAGGAAACGCCAAGCGGAGGTGGTGTGTTTTTAGGTGACTCTTAAAGACTGGCAGAGATGGGGACAGCCTAACTGAGGGTGGCAACTGATTCCAGAGTGACGGTGCTAGGACTGATAAAGCCCAGTCCCCGTGAGTACCACACCTAGAATGAGGGACAGCGAGCAGGCCCTGGTCAGAGGAGCGCAGAGCGCGTGATGGGGAATGTCTGTTCAGGAGTGTGGCTAGATAGGGGGGAGCACCACCCTGGAAGAAATTGTAAACAAAGACGAGGATTTTGAATTGTGAACGATAGCAAACCGGAAGCCAGTGCAGGGAGGCCAGAACCGGACTGATGTGGTCCCGTTTCCTGGTCCCAGTCAGGAACCTAGCTGCGCTGTTCTGCACAACCTGTAGGCGACACAGTGATGACTGACACAACCCTGAATAAAGAGAGTTGCAGTAATCAAGCCTAAAAATTACAAATGCATACAGTACCCGCTCCAGGTGGGCTCTCGACAGCATAGGCTTGATTTTTGCAAGACGTCTCAGGTGAAAGAAACTGGACCGGATCACTGAGTTGATGTGAGCATCAAATTTAAGTCAAGCATCAATTTTCAGATTCGGATGTTCCTCATCCGGCAGGAACATTTTGGAGGGAACTACAGGAAGTGGTAAGTTTTGTCTTGTTTAGCTTTATGAACACTGCCTGTAGTAATAGTTTTGGTCCAGCAGAGGGTGAAAAAAAAAACAGACTTTAAAGAATAGAGTTCTCCTGCTTCCATCCAGTTAACTAGAAACTGGCAGACCAGTACATCGTCCCTTTCTGGTGGTCAGCTGACGGGTTCCCGGAAGAACAACAACAAAAAAAAATTAATGAATGCAAGTACATGGAGCTAAAAGAGCAGTTTTCTAATCTGCTTTGCCTTATGCCCTGAATCACACATATGTTGTACTTTATTTAAATGCAAAGTAATGATGTGTGTTTCAATCACTTCATTACTTTGAGATTTATCAGCTTATGAAAATTCATAAATACTATGACTACAAAGCAGACGTTGGCAAGTCAGATATTTGCCATCACCACAGAATCTGCGAAGCTGCTACTTACCACACAGCAAAATTGATGGTGGTCCTTTTCTCCTGAAAGACAGATTAAGTTTGCTAAAATTTCAGCCATTTTTCTTCTGCTTTTCTCTGTGTCAGTTTCAATTATGCCAGTTTGGTGATACACGCCTTTCACACAAAACTTAAAATAACTTTCCCCCATTCTGTCATTGGTTTTTAGAATATAACCAACATATGTGAGAAACTCTCAGGAGACCATGAGATGATGTAAATACAAAAATGTTTATTTTCAGGAACTAGTAAAGGCTGGTAGGTAGGGAGCTGGGTTCTGGAACCAGAGATTGGACCACTAGAAGAAATAACACAGGAGGTGTCGAACGAGACGAGGAGGAATATAGAATTACAGTTTACGTTTTTTTTTTTTTTTTTACTGGGATGAGATTGAAGGAGAATGTCAGCAGAAGCAGTGACTGGAGCAACTTGAAGGTGAGTACAGCTATCAGGAGAATGATGATAATGAAAGATGAATTGGCTTACAGCGTAACATTGGAAGTTGGACAGGAGACGCACTAAAGGATGGGAGGATGACACGATGGGAGAAGATCCAAAAGGCAGGGAATTATTCAGCTGTGGTTCTGGAGGGCAGAGACAAAGAGCTGCAGAGGCGAGTCTGAGAGGCTGAAGGTGTCAGTGTGAGTTGAGTCAAGAATTGTGCAGGACTAAACAAAGGCGGGTGGAGAACAGGCCGAGTTTAATTTCATTTCATAAGGTCTGAACAAGTTCAGGTGGCTGGATGTTCCCAGTAAGGCAAACAGTCTGGCGGTGAGCAGCTGGTTCCTTTATTCATCCTGTCTGATTATGATTGGCAGCAGGTGAGCAAAGTGACTCTGCTGAGGTAATCAGCTGAGGAATCTCCCTGAGCATCTCCAGCCTTTTAACAAGCCTGTAAAAGTGGAGGTCAAGGCATAGGTGGAGACTTATGAACAGAGAGAGCGACACTGAGGCAGTGATAGCAACTCCCTCAATTCCCCCCCCCCTTTCCGCTGCTGTCGGAGTTTCTCAGTCTAAAACCAAGTTAACGAGAGTGTGCGCACTCGTGCGTGCACGCAAGCACACACTCACAGTAGACTTACCGCTCAGGAGAAGAGCAGACACAGGCCCAATCCCTCACCCTTGCACCCTTTAATTGTGCATTCCCAGCTCGGGGTGCGAGTGCGTAGGGTGCCCCGATTCTCAAGTGCGGAAGTTGACCACGCCCCATCACACCCTTAATCTGCACTTCCCAAGTTTGCAGCGATGTGGACCTCGGGCAAGGGTATTACCCACAAGTCATTGCTGCAGGAGAAAAGGCTCTAGTTTAATTTCTAAAAATACATATTTTCTAATGAAATGTTTAGGACGATTAGTTATGCTCTGAAACTTTTATACAAAGCAGCAATAAATGTAAATTTATTTCACATAATTGTTTGGCTGTTTGTTTAAAAGTTGTCAAAAGTTTTTGAAAAAGTATCACTGCGGTCAGCATCCCAGCATGTGTGGCGATGGATGACGCAATGCTCCCGGTCTCAATTCCCGGTCTCAATTCTGCAATTATTTGCATACTTGTGTACTACGCAATCTAAGCCTTACAACGCACTTTCTCCAAGTGCACTTTGCAGAAGTCCGCAGGGCGTAGTGCGAGTATTGAGATTGGACCACTGATTCTGCAGCATTCTGGAAGATTTCCTTTCAACCGTGATCATTAGATGAAAAGGGGAGCGGGGACATTTTTGTCAGAGGTGAGCGGCTCCGAGCGCCAACATGTCGAATTGGCAGGTGAGTGGTTGAGCCAGGTGGAGGTGCGGTTGCCTCACCTGACAAGTGCAGTGCATCCACGTAGTAGTTTGCTGACATCACGTTTATCAGCTTAGCCATCAGCTGATTCTAAATGAATGTGGAGCAGATTTTATAAAATTACGGTTTTGGGCTGAAATATTAAGTTAAAAGTAAGTTGCACTAAAATGCCAAACTAATGATTACACGTCTGTAGCATCATTAGATCATCAATACAGGTTATCAGCAAAAAAAAAAAAAAACAAAAAAAAAAAACAGTTAATTTAGGTGTTACCTGCATTTGAAGGCAAAAAGAAAATAAACACAAACCACAGCCCCGGATCCTGACACATTCAAAAATAAGCTCTTTCTTGGCCTCATAATATGCCTTTAAAATTCGTTGAAATCACATGTGAAATCCATGGCACATAACGGGATTAGAAAATTGCTTTTAGAGCTCCATTGACTTGCATTTGCTTTTTCTTACTCCCAGGGACCCATGGTCCAACACTATGGGTACTTGTAAGAGTTCACCGTCTCAACATCTTTCGCCTGGATGTTCACCATTGTAGGAGGTGGCTTCTTCCTGTAGTCTATGACCACCTTCTTCATCTTGCTGGTGTTTATCTGGAAAGCATTGGTCCCCCCCTCTTATATTCCTGATTGTTCCCATCTGATACTCACCTGATGTTGGCCGTGCCATCTAAGAATCTTTTAGGTGGCACTGGTATGATCTATAACGGAAGTCAGAAGTGTACAAACTGAACAAGAAGGGTTAGAGAACTGTACCCTGTGGTGCCTCCATGCTGCAGATTACTACCACAGATACAGTCACACAGGCAGTGTAACAAAACTAAATGGTATCCATCATGTCCACGTTCTTTTACTTTGCATTCAAGTTCATTACATTTAGTTTAATTTGAGACTAAAGTATTTCTGTTTTGAATGTTAAATACTTACAAAATAAAAGCCTTTTCATTAATTTTTACAGTCAAAAACATAATTTTACAAGGTAAAAACGAAACAGAGGTTTTGTGAAAATTTATTTGAAAAAATTAGAATAAATAACACTTAAATACTTTTTTCTCATGTTTCGCATTAATGGATGAATGTAACAATGTTTAAATGGGACGAATACCAAAGCCTTGACATTAATAATAAAAATAGCCCTGATTACAAATTGTCCCATCTGTTACCCAAACACTCACCTTGTGAAGCAGCTACTTTGCTCCTAACAGCAACTCAGAAACAACATTCACTGTCTCAATTTCATGCAACGCAGAAGGCTGAGAACAAACAGAAGTGTTTAAAAACAAGGTAAAGATTTTAAAAAGCTAATTTTCATCTCAACACTTTTGTTCTCTGAACTCTCTTCATTCACCACATGGTCATCAAAGAAGTCAGTAAAAATCGAACAAGCACCGTGCCACGCAGCAAAGCTGCTACATTTGTAGCTTAGAGAAATAAGTTCCCTCAGAAACAATTTCATTCCATTTTATGGGTTAAAAAGTTGTGCAGACATTCATTTTGCAGGTAAGCCGTCGGTGCTGCATTTTCAGCTCACCAAATACTCACATATATGTGTCTATACTGGGATTTGTTTTACCCACAATGTATCATTTCAGCTGACCGCTGTAACTGGTGGGACTGAGTTAGTAACAAGGGCAGAGGTTGGTGGAGGTCTTCCTTGGTCCTTGGCTGTATTTGCTTTCTTGACACTTTGGAGCAGAAAGGAGAGGTAGACTGAAGAGGAGGATGATGATCAGATTGACCACCACACACAGGAGAGCTGTTCCCAGCGAGTTGGCGAACGTTATGGGGATGGAGTTAGCAGAGAGCCAGGAGCGCCGCGTTACCATGTCCTGCTCTATGGCCTGCATTTGGAAGTGGGTGCCTACGATGGCACACACGTGGAAGAGCTGATGGCTGTGACCTGCAGAGGGTGCCAATAAATCAGTGTTAATACATCACATGGAGAATAACCTTTACCAACAACAATCACCTTCATCACAGAGCAAATCATTCTCAAGGGGTTGCAGCTCAAATCTGGACGTGGTTATTGATTAACATTATTTTATATTGTTTAATGGAGATGATATTTTATAGTCTGTGGGTAAATCCAGTGTTTGTTACATGAAAAACATCTGTGGGTTTTACTATAAAATCTCAAAAACCACATGTTGCAGCATATGTCCAATTTACCCAAAAACTTTCAGTAATACCAGTTTGGTTTCCATACATCCATCCATCCTCATCCAGAGTCGGGTCAGGGGGGGCAGTAGCCTAAAGTCGAGAGGCCCAGACTTCTCTCCCCAACCACTTGGGCCAGCTGTTCCGGGGGAATCCCAAGGCATTACCAGGCCAGGTGAGAGACATAGTCCCTCCAACGTGTCCTAGGTCTACCTTTAGGTCTTCTCCCGATTGGACGTGCCCGGAAAACCTCACCAGGGAGGCGTCCAGGAGGCATCCTGATCAGATGCCCGAGCCATCTCAACTGGCTCCTCTCGATGTGGAGGAGCAGCGGGTCTACTCTGAGCCCCTCCCGGATGACTGAGTTTCTCACCCTATCTCTAAGGGAGAGCCCAGCCACTCTGCGGAGAAAACTCATTTTGGCCGCTTGTATCTGCGATCTCATTCTTTCGGTCTGTTATAGAAATAGAAATACTACCCAAAGCTCATGACTGTAGTCCATAGGTGAGGGTAGAAATGTAGATTGACCTGTAAACTGAGAGCTTCACCTTCTGACTCAGCTCTCTCTTCACCACGACAGACCAGTACAACACCCGCATCACTGCAGATGCAGCACCAATCCGCCTATCGATCTCCAGTTTTCCCTCACTCATGAACAAGACCCCGAGATACTTAAACTCCTCCACTTGGGGCAGGACATCATCCCTGACCCGGAGAAGGCATTCTACCCTTTTCCGAATCAAGACCATGGTCTCAGATTTAGAGGAGCTGATTCTCATCCCAGCTGCTTCACACTCGGCTGCGAACCGCTCCAGCGAAAGCTGAAGATCACGTCCTGATGAAGCCAACAGGACCACATCATCTGCAAAAAGCAGAGATCTGATCCTAAGCCACCAAAACGGATTCATTCTACCATAAAGTGTTCATACTTCATGATCTTTGTCCACTTACAAGTGAAACAAAAATGATTAGAATATGGTGCTCAAGTCAGTTTGTCAGTAATACTATTTAAACTGGTGGAGGAGCTGGTGGAGAAGGCCGGGGAGAGGACGGTCTGGAGCTCCCTAGTTGGGATGCTGCCCCCACGACCCGGACCCGGATAAGCGGAGGAAGACGACGACGACGACGACTATTTAGACTGAGAGACCATCTCAAGGTTCAGGAACCCTTTGCAGGTGTTTCGGATTCATTAGCTGATTAGAGTGACTTTGAGTCTATAATATTTAACCTTCCACAAAATTCTCAGAAATGTTGAATGTGTTTTTTTTTTAAGTTGTAAGCCATAATCAGCTTAATCATAACAAAGGCTTGAAATATCTTGATTTGCATGGAATGAGCCCATCTTTATACTTTGTTGCACTGCAATTTTGGTTCAGACAATAAAATACAAAAATAAAAAGGTGTTTCAATTTCTTTCGTTACGAGTTTAAAAAGTCTGACTAAATCTTTGTCAGACCTTCCAACCAAATGAAGTAAAACACCAATTTATATTACTAAACAGGAGAAGGTTGACTAAAATAAAATTTAGCAGGGACAGAAGCAATAATTAGCTGCTTCTTAGCACGTTGAACCTCAATCAGAGCTGTACCGTGTTACAGCAGTGTTGAAAAGCTTGAATGCAGACTGGTCCTGTTTTTAGTTCATTTAGCTAAAGACAACCTGTTCACGAGCACAACAAAAGGAAATAATGTCCAGATTCAACCTTTTTAGGCAAATTTTGAGATCACTAAAGGATCTTTTCTGAACCTTTCTGCAGTGTGTTCTGATGTTTGATTGTGTTTACGTTGAATCATTGAGCTGTTCAGTTGTCTGAGTCAATTCGATGCTGATACCGTACCATGAAGTCAAATGAGAAATATTCTAAGTTGGTGAGTCATTTAGCTGTGGGGGCTGAAAAAAATGTATGCACCAAATTTACAACATTGTTACTCAGGGAAACTATTTTAGACCAAAATTGGCTGAGCGAGTCATACAAGTGTGTAAGGGGAAATAAAGAATAAACAATTAATTTTACCGATGTAGTCGAAGCTGCCTGGTGCCAGACGCTCAGGTAGATGTGATGCAAACAGGAAACTGGTGAGGAAAGCCAAAGCAATGTGTTGGTAGTGGAGGATGATGGTTTCATTGTCAGTGCAGCCCTCGCCTTCACATAGAAACACCTGAACACACACACACACACACACACACCTTTATAAGTGTGGTGATTGTAGTCCACTAATTTAATGTTGCCTAAACAGACCCGCACCTATTTTAGCTTTAACAGACTGGTTTGTTAATCATTGGAAGGAACTATTGATGCACCTGTAACACTGTAGAGTCAGATTAATCCCTCTGATCAATCATTTCCATCTTTTAGATTTCTTACTCCCAATATTCAATCTCTGGTTGTTCATTTGTTGTCTGAGGTAGTAGAATAACAAGGTCATCACTGAACTTTTGTCATCAATACCAAGGAATTACTTATTTGCCTTTATCCACTCCTCACATTAAATGTGGGAAATGTGAAACTAAAAACAGCAAATAAACAGTCTAAAAAATTACAATGGCTACTTAAAAAGCCTTATCCTAAAGAAAAGAAAACACTCCTAAACTGTCTAACTTAATTTCTTGCAGTGATTTTTTTCCAGGCAGAGCACAAAAAAAAAAAAAGTATAAAAGTGCTTTGGTGTTAGCACCAAACACAAGCTCAAACACAGGAGTCACATGTTATACTGTACATGCTTCATGGCAAAAAACCTTTACATGCAGAAAAAATTAAGATGACGAGAACTTTCAGGTAATTTTGTGTCTTGACCAGTTCTGCTGCTAGCTGCATCGTCACCCTACCCTGTAGAAGAGAGGAATGTTGTCAAACACGTAGGGGAAGGCAAAGGCAATGACGCGTAGGAGTTTGCTGAACTTCGGACTCGCAGGCATTCTGGAATAAAAAGGAGAAAATCCTTCTTAGGGATGATATAACAAATATTTAAGTTTATAAACCTGACACGTTTAAACTCTAAAGAATTAAAACTAAATGAAAACATTTATAATATAACGACTTTATAAAAGGCATAAACTTTAAAATAAATGTTCTATGTAGAAAACCATTTAAAACAGCCTAAATAAAATATTAAATATAAGGACAAATGTTAAGTACTGAGAAAATTATTTTTCTTAGTTTTTTTATGAAAATAAAAAATAAAATAAAATGCTTTGAGTCAGTTTCAGCATAGAGTTTCTCTCAGGTTGTTATGCAACAGATGTGGAGTTCTTTGTTCTCAGCTGAAACTACGAAGGTCAGAGTGATGAGGGCTGGCCGGGCAACACCTGCTCTGTTTAAAGAGAAGAATGTCCCACAGCTTCTGTACAGGCATTTTTTAAATGTTTGAACACAAAGACATCAGAAAGAACAACCTTTGTCTTAGACAACAAAAGTAGTTTTCTGCAAAAGCAACAGATGTGGTTTTACCTCTTCACAGCATCGTTGTTGTAGTGCAGGAATGGAAAACCAAGCCTTAACAACAAGGAGAGGAAGGACACAATAATAATTATAAAATAGATGTGTGCCCAGGAATTAATGATGTCATTAAGACACTTAAGGCAAAAAATGTTCTGACACATTTATTGATTTGGATATAATGTAGCCATCGTTGATCTTTATTCCCTTTTATATACAGTTTATTAACATCCGTGCTGGTGATGCTTGATCTCACTGCAGCTTTTGATACCGTGGACCACAAAATCCTAAAGGTTGGTTTATGCTTGACGCGTCGCGAGGTCCGCACGGCTCCGCGCGGAACAGTTGCGTCATTTTAACAACCACGCCCCTCCACCGCGCCTCTGCACGGCCCAGAATTTCCGTAACGCGCACCTCGGAAAATTTCTAACAACGCGGACGGGCGGACGCGGAAAAACATGGTGGACCGGCAAGAACTAGTACGGCAGAGGTTCGTAAATACAGACATTTGTATGATTCAGCTCTCATAGATCACCGTGATAAACATGTTGTTAATAATTCTTGGAGAGAAATAACTCGCACTGTCGGAAAAGACGAGAACGCTGTTAAAAATACCGAAATACCGTGTTGTAAACAGTAATTTCTACTTCTACTATGGTGTAGTGTTGGATGCATGCCGTAGAGCTCCTTGCTGCCCCGTTCAGTTAGGGAGAATATTGGCTCACCGCAGAGACGAGCCGCACGAACCATAAACACTGCGAGTTGTGAAGCGCGTTCCAGCCGCGAGCCGCATCACCAAGCGGAAAGTAAATGCGTCAAGCATAAACCAAGCTTTATAGGCTCATAACCTGGGTGGGACTTTCAGGCACAGTCCATAGTTGGTTCCAAGACATGGGTTGTGTGATCACTAATCGAATGATTGTTGTGACATGGGGGGTCCCTCAAGGTTCAATGGTTGGACCACTGCTCTTTAATCTCTACATGCTCCCTCTGGCTCAGGCCATAAACGATAACGTTGCCTATCATAGTTACGCAGATGACACCCAGATCTACCTAGCTCAATCACCCACTGACTGTGGTCCCCTAGACTCACTCAGTCAGTGTTTGGAGCAAGTTAAGGATTGGATGCAGTCAAACTTCTTCCAGTTAAACAAAGACAAGATTGAATTTGTTGGCTTTGGAAAGAAGAATGATAGGATGAAGGTTATTGCTCAACATGGCTCCAGATGAATAGAAACAAAGACCCAGGTTAGAAATCTTCGTCGTCATCATCTTCCTCCGCTTATCCGGGTCCGGGTCGCAGGGGCAGCATCCCAACTAGGGAGCTCCAGACCTCCCCAGCCACCTCCACCAGCTCCTCCGGCAGGACCCCAAGGCGTTCCCGGACCAGATTGGCGATGTAACCTCTCCAAAGTGTCCTGGGTCGACCCGGGGGCCTCCTGCCAGCAGGACATGCCCGAAACACCTCCCCGGGGAGGCTTCCAGGAGGCATCCTGACCAGATGCCTAAACCATCTCAACTGGCTCCTTTCGATCCGGAGGAGCAGCGGTTCTACTCCTAGTCCCTCCCGAATGTCCGAGCTCCTCACCCCATCTCTAAGGCTGAGCCCGGCCGCCCTACAGAGGAAACTCATTTCGGCCGCTTGAATCCGCGATCTCGTTCTTTCGGACATTACCCAAAGCTCATGACCATTGGTGAGGGTTGGGACATAGATCGACCAGTAAATCGAGAGCCTAGCTTTCTGGCTGAGCTCCCTCTTAACCACGACAGATTGGCTCAGCGTCCGCATCACTGCAGATGCTGAACCAATTCGCCTGTCAATCTCCCGATCCCTACTACCCTCACTCATGAACAAGACCCCAAGATACTTAAACTCCTCCACTTTAGGTAGGACCTCTCCCACGACCTGCAGTTGGCAAGCCACCCTTTTCCGGTTAGAAATCTTGGTGTCTTAATTGATTCAGACCTGAGCTTCATTTCTCACATTAAGCTATAACTAGATCAGTATTTTATCTTCATCAAATAGCACGACTCAGGGGCCTCATGTCCAGACATGACCTAGAGAAACTCATTAATCTGCTCTTCTCCAGCAGGCTGGACTGTTGCAGCAGTCTTTTGACTGGTCTTCCCAAAAAAAGCTGTGAATCAACTGCAGCTTATTCAGAATGCTGCTGCTAGAGTCTTAACACGAACCAGGAGAACAGAGCACATCACTCCTGTTCTTAGATCTCTATACTGGTTACCAGTGTACCACAGAAAACATTACAAAGTGCTTCTACTAGTTTATAAATCGCTCAACGGCATGGGCCAAAATACATGTCAGATCTTCTTCCTGAAGATGCGCCCACAGGGCTCTGAAATCCTTCAGAAACAGCTAACCCTAACCCATACCCAAACAGGGTGAAGCTGCTTTTAGCTATGCTGCACACAGATGGAATCAGCTTCCTCATCACCTCAGATAATACCCAAATCTAATAACCTTTAGGTCAAAATGGAAAACTTTCATGTATTCATCAGCCTTTGAATGAATGTTTCTTATGCTGCACCTTCAGCACTGTAACTGCTCAGTCTCTAACTTTGCCTTTTATCTTATCGTTACATCAATTTTATTTGTGAATTGAAATTGAACTGTTGTCACAATGAATCTAACGTTTCATGTTCTTGCTCCTGGAAAGCACATTAAAAGGCTTCTGTGTATGAAATGTGTTATAAAGCTGCCTTGCCTAAAAGTATCACTATTTGTTTTAAACTAATGAACTCATTTTCTCTAATGGTGCAGATTTTAGCTCGTTTATCAGACAACATATTCGAATATTTGTTCTTTTCAGGTGTTTTGTACATTTCATAAGCTTGAATACACACGATGATGGTGTAAAAAAAAGCAACATAATTAACATTATTTTCTCACCCCACCTGGTGTAGCAGGCCAGGATGGTGCAGAAGATGGTGTTGAGGAGAGCGATGGGGATATAGCACTGATGGAGAACGCCATTCACCCACTTGTCAGGGAAAATGTAAGCATAATAAACGATAGCTGACCCTATAGAGAGACAAACGTATGTTTGACATCAAGTAAAATTTAGATTTACACACCTGGAAATTAAAAGATCCAAACAACATAATCTAAATGCTGTTTAACAAAAGTTTGTTGATAAAGCGTCTAGATCAGGGGTGTCAAACTCATTTTAGCTCAGGGGCCACATTGAGGGAAATCTAGTCCCAAGTGGGCCGGACCGGTAAATTAAAAAAAATTCAGATTGTTTTCTTTGTTTTAATACAATCAATATAAAACAAGGCTGGAGCCTGAGGACAGTGTAGTACAAGTACAACACCTGAAGTGTACTTGAAAATTTGGAAAAAAAGAAAAAAATCAATCAATAAAAAAACATTCCTTAGTGATTCAAAGAGCTTACAGATCACATGGCAAGATCAGTTTCATGCAGCACGTAAAATATATTTGACTCATTTTACTTTACATCTTTTAGCATTCACCAGCACATCAATATTAGAAGTCACATCCTGAGTGGCGGCTAACTTCGGGATGTGATTCAAGTTCTTGTGTGAGCCCTGAGCGCAGCTTTGTTTTATTTATTCTCATTACAGAGGAAACCTGCTCACAAAGATAAGTTTATTTTCACTCTACATTGTAAAGTATGGAAATAAAGTTTACACAACCATCTCGGGGGCTGGATTTAACCCACTTGCGGGCCGGATCCGGCCCGCGGGCCGCATGTTTGACGCCCCTGGTCTAGATTCTGTGCATTTTGAATAAAGGATCATGTCGAAACATTTTAAAGACATTGGTGGCTTATTTAGTGTTTTTCAGAATGAAACAGTTATTGTATCTGTGTTAGATAACCTCACGAGAGAGTTCAGAGAAATTGTTTACAGCTCTAATCTTAGACTTTCCAAGTTTCTCTTTACATGAATATTTTCTAGGTAAATTTTTAAGATTCCTGAAGGCTTTACCCAAGGCTGCTTGTAAATGCTGTAACAGAAATCAGAACTCCTAACTTCCGTGTTTGTCAGGATCAGCCTGATGGTGCAGCTCTTACCCAGGCTGTAGAAGCTGAGCGCTCCATAATCAAAAAAGAAACAGATGTGCCGCGCCTGCGCAGACATGGTGCTGAAGGTGTGAGCGCAGCTCGACACCAGCGGGTAGATACAGCAGGAGAGGAGGAAGACCACCAGGGGCCAGGTGAAGGGGTCCTGCCAAACCCACTGCATCAGCACCACCGTTACGAGTTTCCACAGGAAGTACCTGTCAGGAAGAACAGCAACACGGACAAACGCCACACGAGTCACTACTTTGAGCCTTCAGTGTAAAATGATGAAAGACGTAGATCATGTTCTTTGCTTTGCATCATGAACATGATTAGATTTTGAGAAGCATAAACATTCAGTCTGATATTTATCACATTGGACACCAAATATGGGTCTGAGGAAACACACACACACACACACACACACACACACACACACACACACACACACACACACACACACACACACACACACACACACACACACACACACACACACACACACACACACACACACACACACACACACACACACACACACACACACACACACACACACACACACACACACACACACACACACACACACACACACACACACACACACGTTTGAGGGTGCCGATTTTTCCACCTCTAGAGGAAACATGATAGTTTTCTAATCGTCTCTGATCTCCAGAGAGGTTTCATCAGAAGGAAAACAGTCTCCAATAAACAAGAGAAACACTCAAGAAGAGTAAATGATGAGTAAAGTTCCTAAACAGTAAACATGTGTGGTCACAATGAGCAAAAGTCACTTAAGACAACCTCATAATGCCTCAAAAAGAGTTTTATTCACCAGCTGTTGGTTACATAACAGCTAAGAGAGCCGCACAAACACACTAGTCTTATCAGGAGGCTGTTGTGTGTCACAGGACGTGTTTCCCTGTCACTGAGCAGTTTGCTAATAGTGACAATATGCATGAAAGCCTGAAGCACAGACCTGCTCATTAGTGCCTGGCATTACGGTCTGCACAGAGCCCCTCGACACAAACACCCATGTGTCTTTGGAATGAACCAAACAGACCCACGTTCACACAAACACACACCCACTCTGCTTCTTCTGCACTGTGCAGTCAAAACAAGCAGCATGTCAGTGGGGAGGAAGTGCAGCAAAACTTTTAATTGGAGTTATTTCATTTAAAACGAGGAGCTCAGATGGATAAAAGGAAGCTCTGAAAATAGTGTGGATTTAATTTGATTATTGTGATTTGCCCAAATTAGAAAAACAAACAAAATAATAATAATAAAATAATAATGTAACCAATCAGGTTCAAGTGCAGTTGGTTTCAGTGGAAATGTAGGATTTAGATTGTTTTCATAAAAAGCTTTGTATTTATTAAAATCTGAAGACCTATTACAACTCTCAGAGCCTGCAGGCTGGTGCCTTTATCACATCTGTAGTGATTATAAAACACGTCCTATTTAGTTGACTTAAGTGGGTTTAAACGTTCATCTTAGATCAATCAGGTACAGATCAGCTGGTATCGCCTCATATCAGTTAATTAGGACAAATGTTAAACAGTCCATCCCCCAACCCTGGTTGGTGCCATTTAGGTAAATAGATCATTTGAGATATATATATATATATATATATATATATATATATATTAATTATATATATATATTTATTTATTAATTATATATATATTATATTATTTATTTATATTATATATAATTTTTGTTGCAAATTCGTTGACTACTCTGCCCTCCAGCTTGCATTCTTTCTATTGTTCTGTGATTGTATTAAAAAAGTTCAGCATGGATCCATAGTTGGAACAACTGGTCAGTTCTGCTTTACTTAACATTTCTCAAAACGTTCCATCAGAAGGATCCATAGTAACACCTGTGGCACTAGATCAAGGTGCTCCATCCTGGTTGTGGAGGGCCGGTCTACAGAACATTTTAGTGCTTTCCCTGCTCCAGCACGCTTGTTTCAGTGGTTGCTTCACCTGCGCAACAGCTCATTAGGCTCTGCAGAAGTTAATCAGCTTCAGATTAAAATCTGGTGTGTTGAAGCAGTTAAAACTAAATTGTGCAGGATACCGGCCCTCCAGGACCAGAATTGGGACCCATGATCTTGAGTTTATGAACCATGTTTCATAAAAGAAAAATAACAGAGGTTCAGATAGTCTAAATAACTTTACTTCTGCAAATAAAAGCCCTCATTCACATTTTGTAATAAATGATCAATAACGGTTGTATTTTAACTTGCTGAAGCAGAAAACTAATCTTTGGTGACATTTTGATCCCTGACCAGCCATTTGTTCCTATTTATGCCAATGAGATCCAAACAATACTTAACACAGATTAACACGTAGTTTACCAACTCCACAGGAATTTCCTTTTACTGTTTATAGTGTTGTAGTCAGCTGATAGAGGAACACCCTGAATCAGCTGGAGGTCTGTGGGTCCCGCATGGTTGCTGGGAGGATGATTTGAAAACAAACCTGTGTTATTTCAGTTCGTCTCATGTTTCATGGCTGCATGCTGACCTCTGAAATCTGTCTGCAGAGTCCCAAACCCAATCAGCATCTCTGGATTTTAAACATAAACAACTCTAGTATTTTAAAACTAAATATAAATGATGAACTGATTAAATCAACGATGAACTGATTAAAATTAAAAACTGGTTTGATATAAAAAGATTGACACTGAATCTTAATAAAACAAATTTCACACTGTTTAATGATAAAGAACAGAGATGTGTCATTGGAAATAGATGGGAATGAAATTCAAAGAGTAAAAGAAACTAAATTTCTTGGAGTTCTTATTGATTTAGACTTGTCATGGAAATCCCATATTAATTACAGATAAGGTAAAATTGCCAAATCCTTAGGAGTATTACATAAAGTCAAGTTTTTACTGACTAATTCTGGTTTGTTGGCATTGTACAATTCACTAATTGTTCCATACTTGACTTATTGTGTAGAAATCTGGGGAGCAACATACAAAAACTATACACAACCCTTATTTATTTTACAGAAAAAAGAGTTGAGAATCATTGATTATAGTGGCTGTAGAGATCCATCAAACTCATTGTTTATTAAATACAAATTACTGAAATTTCATGATTTAAAAGACTGGAAAATCTTACAAACTATGTATAAAGCCAATTTACCGGTAGGTACTCTGCCAGCAAACATTCAGGGGATATCTGAAAAGAGAACTAGTAATTACATGCTGAACGAAACTGATGTGTTTACAAAACCTAGATTTAGAACTAAAATTAAGGAATGGAATACATCTGTAAATGGTGTTAAATTATGGAATAACCTTAAAAGGGAAATAAAATATAAAAACTCTTGTCATTTAATATATTTAAAAAAATTACCGAATTGGGTGTACTAAATAATTATGAAAATGTAAATGAAATCAATGATCATGATCACTCTGGAATTAAAAACAGGAAAAATATCTAAATTAATCTGTATGCGTGTCTGACAAATGGAAATTGTATAGAGTATTTCTTCTGGAACAGGGGGCAGAAATTATGAGATGTTTTTCTTCATTCTGCTCCTTTTCGTTTAAATTGGATATTTGTTGTTATGTATATATTATTGTTTATATTTTGTTTGTTTTTATTTTGAATGAAATAAACAAATAAAAATAATAATAAAAAAAACTGTAGTTCCCACAAGGAAATAAAAAATACACACAGGACAAGTCTGCATGATGCTGGTTTACCGGCTTTACAGGATGAGCAACATTCTCTTTCATAATGAAAATGCTTTCACTGTGTTTTTGGGTGTGATGGGAACAAAGCTCAGATCAGTTCTACTCCAAACTTCAAATTACACGAGATGGTTGAATTTATAAAACCTCATAGCACGTATGCTCGTTCTAGGCCTAGGGATGGCTTAGTGGAGTTTCAGCTCACCAGGTGGGCAGGAAGTGTGTCCAGATGTTGAGCGTCTCATTGGTCATCTGGAAGAGGCTGAGGATGCAGTCAATTGCTGAGCTTCGGGGGTGTCTGTACCCAGAGATGATGCTGTCCTCATGGAAAACCTGCAAACAGGTGAAAGAAACACTTATTTTCAGTAAATAGATGCAATGAAACAGAACCAAATGTTCAAATTTGCTGATGGCTTTTTACTCTACACAGTAGCAGGTGTTTCCCAAAGATGACTTTAAACAAAAGCAGCTCTAAAAACAAGAGGAACCAATAACCGGGTAACTTACTGCCCATCAGATACAAAGTATTTATTCACAACCCAGACTGTGTGTGAAACGTGTCAATGGTGAAATGAAGAGGAACTTACTTTGGGCACCTGATTGATGCTGAATACTCGTGGAAGTTTTATGAGGCAGAGCATGATCCTTAAAGTGTGCTGCTGCTGGGAGGAGGACAGATGAAGTGAGGCCAAAGGTAGGGTGTGCCTCCACATTTATAAAGGTGTGTGTTACCATGCCGGCCTCTGGGTTCCTCCCCTTCATCTCCTTCCTCTTCGAACCCAGCGAGTATATCTAGTACACATGCCACTCCTCCTCACTGCTTCTGTCGCCTCTCTGGAGGTGGAAGGTGTGTGCCAACAGGTGCACACACACACACACACACACACACACACACACACACACACACACACACACACACACACACACACACACACACACACACACACACACACACACACACACACACACACACACACACACACACACACACACACACACACACACACACACACACACACACACACACACACACACACACACACACACACACACACACACACACACACACACACACACACACACACACACTTCAGCTTCTGGATCATTTGTGATCTGAATAATTTAACTACAACATTAAAGAAGATTGTTGTTTTTTTTAAAGGTTTTCTGGTCTTCTCAGACAACACTGCAGAGCCAGTAAGGCAGGTTTAGGTGATCGATTTTCTTTTAATGGAACAAAAACAAAACAGAGAGTTGATGCAATCATTCCTAACAGAGAAGGAAACAAGAGGCCTGGCTGAAAGCTGAACATGAATGTTATCTGGAGTCCAGATAAGACTGAACCATGACTGAATGAAGGGTGGGAACCAGTGAGCTCATTAAACATTCCAACCCCGATGGGGGGGCATTCACATCCTAAACCCAAGTCACACCTCCCTGAGTCTTTGGCCCAATCCAATACTCGCAATTCCACCCTTGCGCCCTTCAATTGTGCGATCCCCACTAGAGTGCATAGGGTGTCCCGATTCTGAAGCGCGAATGTTGATAAATTACTTCAAAACTTCATATAAAATCATATTGTTGAATGAACAATACATTTAAATCCAAGGTGTTTGATTAATGTGTTCTATACTTTACATTGTGGATTAAAATGAATATTTTTCCTTTGATTATTTATTTTAGATCTTAAACTACACCAGATCAGTAATTGTTGAATAAATAATTAATCTAAAAGTATGAACACAGTAATATAATAATATTGTTTAACCTTTTCACTTCACACTAAGAGTTAACCTCTAAGTATCTGAGTGAGGGAGTGGTTCTCTGAGGTATTTAAAACTTGTGAAATTCTGATTTGTCTAAATTTGTCAATAACAGTTGATAAAAACAGATCACTTCCTGATCTAGGCAGTTATTTGCCAGCTCACTTGGTTAGGCCAACCGGGTGAGCAACGCATTTGGAACCATCGTCTTCCGTCCGGAACTGCGCTGCTCTGGGTGGCTGCATGTTGGAGTAGTTCTGTTGAGTCTGTAAGTTTTGCCTTTTCTTGGACATTTTTTCTTCTAGTTTCTCAAGAAAGACTATTTTTTTTGGACATTTTACTTTTCTGTTTCTGGTGCTGTGAAGCTTGGAGGATTTTTACTGCTATTTTTTTCACTTTTTGAACATTTGTTATGATGTGTAACAACAAGCTGGTTTACAATCGGGAGCAGCTGATTAACATTGGAAAGGCTGAAATAACGCCTCAACTGAAGCCACAAATTCCAAATGAGCTAAAACTCAAGAAGCGTGGGTGCAGAGCGGGAGCAAAACGGAGACAGAGAAAGAGGAAATTCAAACCATCTCTTCCATCAATCATAATGGGCTATGTGAGATCACTGGCCAAAAAGAAGGAGGAACTCCAAGCCCTTTCAAGGACTCAGCCAGAGTTTTGGCAGTGCAGAGTTGTGCGTTTCACTGAGACGTGGCTGCAGGACCATATCCCCGATTTCAGCGTCCCTCTGCCAGGACGAGCACAGAGATCTGAAGAAGAGCGGGAAAAGAAAAGGAGGTGGAGTGGCAGTGCTCATCAACAACAGATGCTGCCATCCAGGTCATGTTTCAGTGAAATGCCGTCTTTGCAGCCAAGATGTTGAACTCTTGGCAGTAAGCTGTCACCCAAATTATTTGCCAAGAGAGTTCACCAGTGTTGTCTTGGCAACCGTTTATATTCCACCTTCAGCCATTGATGAAAATGCATGTGATGCCATCAGTTCCGTTGCCGCTAAGCTACAAACCCAGCACCCCAATGCATTTGTGGCTATATGTGGTGATTTTAATCATGCCTCACTCTCTTGCTACACTTCCAACATTTCAACTGTTTGTCAGCTGCTCCACCAGAGAAAACAAGGCAATGGATTTGTGTTATGCAAATGTTAAGAATGCATACATGTCCAAAACAAGACCTCCTCTGGGACAATCAGATGACAATCTTGTTTTTCTCTGCTCAGAATACAAACCACTTGTTCAGAGGCAACCTGTACCAAGAAGAACTGTGAGAAAATGGTCACAGGATGATGAAGAAGCCCTGCAGGGTTGTTTTGAGACCACAGATTGGATGACTCTCTGCCAAGGATATGAAGAGGACATTAATGCCATGACTGGATGTGTCACTGACTATATAAACTTCTGTGTGGATAACATCATACCCACCAGAACAGTGAGATGCTTTGCTAATAACAAATCCTGGATCACCAGTGAACTGAAGAATCTGCTAAATGAGAAAAAAAGACCCTTCAAGGAGCGAGACAGGGAATTATTGAGGAGTATACAGAAGCAACTGAAGATCAAGATCAGAGACAGCAACGAGGCATACAGAAAGAAGCTGGAGAACAAACTACAGAGGAACACTATCAGAGATGTCTGGTCAGGGATGAAGAAGATCACAGGCTTCAAGCAGAGGAAGGATTGCACAGATGGCAGCCTGGACACAGCCAATGAACCGAACAAGTTCTTCAATAGGTTCAGTTCAGGAACAAACCCAGCATCCTCCTCGCCTGTCCCCAGCCAGTCAGACATCCCATCCTCCTCTTATCCAACATTTTCTTGTCACACACCAGCTCTTTTGTCCTCTAAGGCACTCATGGACTCTTCTGGTTCTATAAATCTGTCTTCAACCAATTCAGGAGATGCTGCTGCCCCATTTACCTCCCCCTCCCACCTATCTGTCTCTAGAAGTCAGGTGAAGAGGCAGCTGGAGAGACTGAACAGGAACAAGGCTGCGGGTCCAGATGGTGTCAGCCCCAGGGTACTGAAGGCCTGTGCAGAGCAGCTATGTGGGATTTGGCAGCACTACTTCAACCTCAGCCTGGCACAGGAGAAGGTTCCAGTCCTGTGGAAGACATCCTGCCTTGTTCCAGTTCCAAAGAAAACTCGCCCATCAGTCAATGACGACTACAGACCGGTTGTCCTGACATCCCACATCATGAAGGGCCTGGAGAGACTCCTGTTGGTCCACCTGAATAAGCAAACCAGAACATATCAGGACCCGCTGCAGTTTGCTTATCGCCATGGAGTTGGAGTTGAAGATATCATCATCCAGCTGCTTCAACCAACCCACTGTCATCTGGACAAAGCAGGCAGCACTGTGAGGGTCATGTTCTTTGATTTCTCCAGTGCATTTAACACAATCCAGCCTGATGTACTTTGCCAGAAACTCCAGAAGACACAGGTGGGGGCCCTCAACTATCGCCTGGATTAAAGACTACCTGACAAACAGACCACAGTTTGTGAGACTGAAGAACTGCACATCAAACCAGGCGATCAGTAACATTGGAGCACCACAGGGGACTGTACTCTCACCATTCCTTTTCACCCTGTACACCTCAGACTTCCAGTACAAATCAGAGACCTGTCATCTACAGAAATACTCAGATGACTCTGCAGTCGTCGGGTGTATCAGAGATGGACAGGAAGCTGAGTACAGAGAGCTGGTGGAGCGCTTTGTGGCATGGTGTGGAAACAATCATCTGACCTTGAACGTGAACAAAACAAAGGAGATGATTTTAGACTTCAGAAGAAACAGGGTGGAGTCAAACACTGTTTCCACCATGGGAGAAGAAGTGGAGGTGGTTGAGGAATACAAAAACCTTGGAGTTCACCTGGACAACAGACTGGACAGGAGAAGGAACAGCGAAGCCATTTACAAGAAGGGACACAGCAGACTGCACTTCTTGAGGACGCTAAGGTCCTTTAATGTCTGTAGCAAGATGCTGCACATATTCTACAAGTCTGTTGTTGAGAGTGTAATGTCTTAGCCATCGTCTGTTGGGGTAGTAGCATCAGAAGCAGGGACCTGAAAAGGCTCAACAGCCTAATAAAAATGGCTGGTTCTGTTCTGGGGACGACTGTGGAACCACTGGAGGAGATAATGCAAAGAAGGATTCTCCAGAGAATCAAGAAAATTATGGACAACCCTGAGCATTCTCTTCACAAGACTGTCTGACAACAGAAGAGTGTCTTCAGTCAGAGGCTTCTTCAGTTTCGCTGCAACACTGACCGCTACTGGAGATCCTTGCTGCCAGCAGCCATTGTAATATACAACAACTCTTTGAAGACTTGATTATTATTATTATTCTGAGCTACTACAGCAATCAATTTCCCTCTGGGATTAATAAAGTATTTTTGAATAGAATTGAATTTTGACCCCAAGGTCACAGTCGCTCTGCTGTAGTGTCTGATGTCGCTTGCGAGTGACAGACACTACAGCTCCTCAGACTTGCAGACCCTGGTAGTATCATCTGGCCGGTGATATCTGAACTCAAAAAGGAGCTACGACTTATTGATCATTTTAATTTAACAAGTATGTAACCACATCCAAACCGCTACATAAATGGCCTTTTGTGCCCCTGACCCGCACTTCACCCAAGTCTGCATTGATGCAGACTTGGGTGAAGGGCATTACCCACAATCCATTGCTGCAGGAGAAAAGGCTCAAGTGCCTTTTCTGAAAATATGTATTTTCTAATGAAAGTTGTTCATTTTAGGACGATCAGTTGATGCTCTGAAAGTTTCAGACAAAGCAGCAATGTAAATTCAAATAATTGTTTGAAAGTTGTTAAAAGGTTTTTTAAAAAGTTTCACAACGACCAACGTCTCGACATGCGTTGCGGTCAATGACTAAATGATCCCTGTCTCAACTAGGCAATTACTTGCACACGTGTACCACACACACAAAGCCTTACAGGTGTACTTTCTCCAAGTACCCTTTGCTGAAGACCGAAGGGCGAGTATTGGGATTAGGCCTTTGTTTATGAACCACAATCTCAAACATGGCAGCACATTCAGGATCACCCTGCAGGGGATGGTCATGCAGTTGATATTTTGCTCCTGATGCGAATAAGAAGTTAATATTGAGATCAGTGAAAAGTAAAAATCTTTATATTATTTAGGGGTAACTAATGATTCTCCAGCTGGTTTATCTATAAATACAAGAGCTGGTTAATACCTTATTTCACACTTTTCGTGGAAAACTCAAACATTTCTGTATTAATGATCTACACCAGTAGATTTCCATTCTTTTAAACCTTCTAAATAACTCCCGAGCATCCGCTGAACCTTTTCTCCAAAACCTTCAGTGATCTGATCTGTCGAGTTGTAAAAAGGAGCCACAACAGAAGACCAAGTCAGACTCCAGCTTCCTGTCACGGTCAAAGTCAAAGCAACAACGTACAGCAAGAAATAAAAATGAACCAGCCGACGCATGACCAGCAGTCAGTGGGGGCATGCTCAGTTAAATTCTGTGTTAATGTGTAATTCATCAACACTTTCACTTCCAGCGGTGTAAACAAGATTGAGCTGTGAGAGCCACGACCTCTGATAAAAACAAGGTCATCACACACAGAAACAAAGAGATGTGAGAGGCGTTCAGGTTCAGAATGAAGTATCAGTAATGATATTTAATGTTGGCAGATGTTGAGATGTCAGCAACAGGGTGGCTGACACAAATCGATAAATCACAGCTCAGTAAGGACCCGTGTGCCTTTTTTTATGATGTTTTTGTTGATATTTTTATATATTGATATTAATGATCCTGGTATTTTCATTGGACTTGTGTGAATTTTTAGTTTTATTAAATATTGTCCTAATTAGGAATACATTTGAGGGGCTGGCCACCCAACTGAACAGGATGAGTCCAACACAGAAGAACCGAAAGAGATGAATCCCAACAATAGAATGAGATGCATTGCCCCCCACTGGACAAAAAGTAGATAACCTGGAACTCAGGCCATCATCTCACACGCCGCCAAGCCAACTTTATTATTAAGCACTTCAAAAACAGAAGACAAACATACTGAACTTACAACGCAGAGGCATAAAAACAACAGAGTTGTAAACGTGATGAATGTGAGATGTTTACTACTGATAACAACCAAAAAGATTAACTTGATGAAAGAACAGAAGCAACTGATCAGATTTAAACACTGTTGATAAAGATGAGCTCAAGGCCTTGACTCATCTTTCAAAAATAAGAGCTGAGATGTATCATCATTCATTTAAGTTATTCAAAACTGTTCTAATGTTTAAATGCTATGTTTCTAAACAGAAATTCAGAAATCAAAGAAAAACTAGGGTCCAATGTGGCTAAAAGGTTTTTAAATGTTCAAAATAGATATTTTAAGTATAGTTTATATAGTTTAACAGTTTCTCTGTAGAAGAGTCATGATTAATTATCAGTCTACCTTATTTCAGTTGTGTCGTCTCATGGCAGATTGGGGTTGCCACAGCAACAGCGAGCTTTGGGCAATGGCTTAGCAACCCCCCCAAATAAAAGCAGATATTTGTTTCTTGGCATTTTATTTTATCGTTAGTCTAATGGGCTTATATTTTCTTTTCCTTTTCTTTGAGTAAAAAAAAATGTCAATGGGGTGAAGTAATTCTAGCCAAGCAACTTTCCCCAAAGGCAGATTTTTTTTACCCAAGAAAATACGCTCATATTTAAGAATACTTACCTTATATCAGGTAATGCCATTTTTGCAAATGAGAACATATTTTTAGATTTAAAAAAAAGATAATATACCTAAAAAAATAAGTATTTTCTTGAAAATCTGTTTTACAGTGTAGAACCTTTACATTCATAGACTAAAGAAGCAAGTCATTTTATCATTAGCTCACCTGTCTTGTCAGAAATAATCTCAGTTTCTCCAAACGGGGGTTGCTCAAAGAGCCAGATGCAACCTAAGATATTATCAATTATATTGTTACAGAAAGCCACTTCTCGAGATCTGAATCCTCCATTTAAGACTTTTACCCCGGCACACACACCCTGCAACACTTAGCAAGCAAGCAAGCAAGCACACACGCGCACACGCACACACAATATAAGAAAGAATATGTTTATTTTAGTTTTCATTGGTGTCTCACACTACCCGTTAACTGTCAGCAAGCACAGGATCATCTCTATTTAACACCAACTTACATTAACAATGCTTAAACAGACACTACTGAACAAGCAGTGGCTTCGCCAGAACCCTATTTGTGGGTGGGCCTAAGAAAAAACGGGTGGGCTGACTCAATAAGTGTAACTGAAAATATATATCAACATATGTAGATAACTTAAATTTTGTTCTGTTTCATTTTATTGTATGATGGCATGAAAGGACACCCCTCCAAAATGATGCGCGCGCAAACACACACACACACACACACACACACACACACACACACACACACACACACACACACACACACACACACACACACACACACACACACACACACACACACACACACACACACACACACACACACACACACACACACACACACAAAAATAAAATACTAGCACACACATTTAGTAATGTATATACCTTACATACTGTACATATTATTACTTAGATTGGCCATTTTTATATTTTGCTTGTTTTTACATTACTGTATTTTTGCACAACTCTGTTGCAGTGAAGCTCGCACACAAGAATTTCACTCGCGTGTACTGTACCAGTGTACCTGCACATGTGACGTGACAATAAAAGTGATTTGATTTGATATATACATACACATATATACACATACACATTATATACACATACACATTATATATACACATTATATATACACATTATATATATATATATATATATATATATATATATATATATATATATATATATATATATACACATATATACATATATATACACACATTATATATATATACACACACATATATATATATATATATATATATATATATATATGTATATATAAATCCACTAATAGCCACACTCCTTTTCCAAAATGCATAAAAGTGAGTAAATTAGAAAAGAACAAAACTGAGTAACCAGAAAGCAACTGGTTTATATACGGCACACATGGGTTTACATTTAAACTTATATTCATCTTCTTGTGAAACAATTCAAGCTTCCAGACCATCAGATTCAAATTATTTGCACTTAAAGTTTCTAAATGTCATAAAACACAATTTAATGGAATCCAAGTGAAAATGAGAGCAGAGTCTGAACAGAAAACTTGTAATTTGTTACAAACTCACCTTAAATTCACATTTTTAACACCAGACACCCAAAAGGTCACAGCAGCAGGAGTAAGGCGGCCTGTCCTTGTTTAACGATGCCACCAAGAATTGGTTTTCCCCTGATCAGAGGCAGTTTGAGACAAACATGGCAACCAGAACTCACACCTGATGGATATTTTAATCAGCAGCTCCTCTGGTCTTAATTCTACACACTCAGATAATGTCTAAAACAAAATAACAACTTATTTAAAACTCAGCATTTAACTTAGGAATCATCTTTAGGCTCTGAAAGGTTAAAATAAACACGTATTAATTTTTTAAACTATTATTATTCCTATTCTGTCTTTGTTTTTGTGGTGAGAATGTTTAACATTTCAAATCTAAAACAGCTATTCTGTGATGATGGTTGTAATACTCCATCTCATCACAAGATGGCAATGTTTTCTAAAATGAGCTGAACATTCAGAGCTGCTGGAAAACTTTTGAATCCTGGCCTGCCAGACTAAAACTTCTGAGGAGCACAACCAGCAGATTATCTTTGCCAAATCGTATATTTTAAACTTGTATTTCTTTTATTCTCGTGGCTCCATGACTAGGGTTTGCAAATCTAAATTATATTATGAAACATTAGGAATTATGCATGGAGAAAACCTTCTTAGAGCACAGTTTGTTGCTTTTACTGGACATAAAAACTAACAGAACAAGTTTACTTCAGGTCAACACTTGCCTCCCCTTTCAGTGTAAAAATGAACTGAATCTCCTGACATCAGCCTTAAAGTTACCGTAAGATCAGCACAAGAAAGAAGCTTTTCACATTAAGCATTTATGAAGTTGTTTTTGCTGATGCGGATGCTGCTTCATCTACAAGGTTGTTGTTTTGTTCCAAAATAACCCAAAGATGCAGCACAGTATTACATTTGACCGTCTACTTAAAAAGAACATGACAAACACAAATATTAAATAATACATTTAAGTTAGGGGAAACGCCTAACATGGCGCTTTTAATAGTTTATGATGCTAAATGTCGCTCACACCTTTTCACTCAAAAACAATATGCAAGCAGACAAGGAATACCAGCTGGATATGTTTGCAAACCTGGTGAAGAAGCGTGTTAAAAAGTGCTCCAGCACAATAATAATAACACGTAATGCATGCTGATGGGACAACAGGTTCCTGCACAATAATAGGGACAGTTTGTAGCTAAATTAATGCTCTAACCGTGTTGAATCGTTTTAAAATGAGTCCGTATCTGGAGAATAGGTGGAGAGCACGAAGTCGAACATCAGGTGATCACTAATTACGTGCTTGAACACGTCTGTATTTAATAACCTGTTATCATGATGATAACGCGCTGCCTTTAGGTTGTTTTTGTGAGGGATCATAAAGAGGCCGATCAGCCTGCTGTGCTGCAGCTGCTCACTGAGTTTGTGGCTCCCTGGTGTTTTGGTTGATGAGGTGTAGTTTGTGTCTCCAAATGAGGAGCACGCTCAGTAGTCGCCCCCTGATACATTATTAATAGTTGCTAGACTCCAGGCGCCGTTTTAACTTTGCTGGGTTTTAGATTTTCCTCCTGCACTCGTCTACAAACACCCCCACCGCCGCCGACTCCCTTTGTCTCCTGCTCATCTCTGTTTTGTGTTTTCTGTTGGCTCTGCCTCCACTGCTGCTCTGCCTCCTTATTGTTCTCCTCCATCCTCATCAGACCTGGTTAAAAGCCAGTGGTGGTGGTGAAGACTTTTATTCTCTCTGCTGTGTTAAGTGTGCCAGCTCATAAATGAGAGCAGCACATTAACTGGAAGCAGAAACGATGAATTATAACACTTCATTTGAGGGTAATGATGGTTCCTGTGTCTCTGGTGCTGATTTACAGTATACCACCAAATCAGACTCAGTTGATCCTGACAGGTGTGTCTGCTCAGTAGCACAGATTTAAAGAAAGACGAGCAGTAAAAAAGGATTTGGCAGAGCGCTGGGAGATGCCGTTTCTCTGACAACAGCAGTCTGCTAATGAGGTCGAACTTTTAAAGAAAAATCCCTCAGCAGTTTGGGAATGGTGCTTGTTCTCCTCTTTGCAGGGAAGAAACTTGACAAGACTCTAGGCTCTTTCTTCTAAATATGAAAATACAGCCAGGACCTGTGAGGAGCAGGCGATTACACAAAAGGTTTGAACAGAAAGTCACAGAATCCAATAACTACAAAGCTCAACGTCATTTGTATTAATCAGAGAAGCTTAAACCTGAGATGAAGCTCACAAGCTGGAAGTGATGAAAGAAAATCTTCACACTTTTTAGTTTGCTTTCCTGCTGTGCTAACAGAAGACCAGCAGCTGTAACATTTATGACGAAAACTCAAAGAAGTCCCTTTGAACTGTTTTTTTTTAAGGTGGATCAGAGAAAAGATCTGCCAGGAGGTTTTACATTTGTTTTTGCTCAAAGGTCCAACAGGTAGAAAGGAAAATTAATGTTCCAAAGCAGCACCGCCCATTACTCCACCACCCCCGTGTTTCACTGCTGATATGTTGTTCTTACTAAATGCAGGGCAGATTGAACGTTCCACTTTTATCCTGTCACTCCACAGAAGACTTTCCCAACAGTCTTCAGTATAATCAAGATGCTGGTGAAGGTTCTCAGTCATCCAGGTCATGGTAATCCAAAAGGGTTCAGATTAAGGCAATTGGATTTATTTGGTTTCTTTAAGATGTTTTGCTTCTCATCTGAGGAAATTTGTCAATTCTGACCGGAATATGGGAGGGTCAGCTTGTAAACTGTAGCGGTCTGTTGTTTATTAACGAACTGAAACTACTTATGAATACCTCTCGTCCCTACCCTGTGAGGAATCGTTGATATGGTTGCTTTGGTCAGATGCAGGAGGGTGTGATCTAGACTGAAACGGATTTGGAATTAGATTCGGAGTTGCATTATAGGTGTTGGAAAGGTGAAACCTAAGGCCTCCTCCTCTGTTTAATGAAGGTTTTTCTCATTCAACATAGATAGCTTCCTGCACTCCTCTCTCAAACCATCTATCTTTTTGTACTTTGTCATCTTCAAAAGTGTGTCCCTTGTCCTTCAGGTGTCAGTGGACTGCAGAATCTTGATCTAAGAGGTGGCTCTTCTTTGTTGTGCCATGTGCTTGTGTAATTGTTGTTTAGATTCCACTATGTAAAGGTCTGGACTGTCCTCGCTACACTGGGCTGCATGAACACTTGTTTGGGTGTTTTGTCTTTTGGATGGATCAGTTTCTGTCTGAAGGTAAACATTAAACCTAACAACAACCTCAGACAGAAATCGGTCCATCCAAAAGACAAAACACCTCAACAGAAGCTTAGTGGCATTGTTTATGCAGTCAAGAAACCAAAGAAATCCATTTGCCTTCATTTGAATCCTTTGGCTTATAATCAAGATGAGTAAATGTGCTGTTGTGCTCTTTTTGGTCCACAGATAGCTTTGGTTTCGGTATTCTTCCACAAGACTACTTTCAGCCCCCTGTCTCTTTCTTCTTGTTGAATCATGACCTCTGGCCTCAACTTTAAACCATTTGAGATCGGCAGAGCCTAGTTTTCACCCCACAGATAGAAAATCCCCTTCATCTGTCTGTATTACCCTTTCAAATACTTTTGGAGTAAACACCTCCTTGAACCGTCACCTTATCATAGTGGAGGTGTTTGAGTGCCCTAATGATCCTAGGAGCCATGTTGTCTGGGGCTCTTTGTGCCCCTGGTAGGGTCTCCCATGACAATTTGGTCTTAGGTGAAGGGTGAGACTAAGAACGGTTCAGAGGATCTTTCATGGATTTACAATCAAAGAGTCAAAGTACCCGGTCCGGAGGGTTACCGGGGTCCCACCCTGGAGCCAGGCCTGGGGTTGGGGCCCGTGAGCGAGCGCCTGGTGGCCGGGCTTTCGCCCATGGGGCCCGGCCGGGCCCAGCTCGAACCGGATACATGGGCTCATCCAACTGTGGACCCACCACTCGCAGGAGGAACATGAAGGGTCCGGTGCAACGTGGATCGGGTGGCAGACAAAGGCGGGAGCCTTGGCGGTCCAATCCCCGGACAAGGAAACTGGTTTTTGGGACATGGAACGTCACCTCGCTGGCGGGGAAGGAGCAGGAGCTTGTGGCAGAGGTTGAGCGGTACCGGTTAGATATAGTCTGACTCACCTCGACACATAGCATTGGCTCTGGAATCCAAGTCCTTGAGAGGGGTTGGACACTCTCCTTTGCTAGAGTTGCTCCGGGAGAGAGGCGGAGGCTGGGGTTGGCTTTTGTTAGCCCCGAGACTCTCTGCCTGTGTGTTGGGGTTTACCCCGGGGGACGAGAGGGTAGCTTCCCTGCGCCTTCGGGTCGGGGAACGGGTCCTGACTGTTGTTTGTGCTTATGGGCCAAATATCAGTTCAGAGTACCCACCCTTTTTGGAGTCCCTGGGACAAGTGCTAGATAGTGCTCCATCAGGGGACTCCATTGTCCTGCTGGGGGACTTCAATGCTCACGTGGACAATGACAGCATGAACTGGAGGGGTGTGATTGGGAGGAACGGCCTGCCTGATCTGAACTCGAGTGGTGTTTCATTATTGGACTTCTGTGCAAGCCGCAGTTTGGCCATAACGAACACCATGTTCGAAAATAAGGATGCCCATCGGTACACTTGGTACCAGGGCAGCCTAGGTCGCAGGTCGATGATAGACTTTGTAGTCGTATCATCTGACCTGCGGTCATATGTTTTGGACACCCGAGTGAAGAGAGGAGTGGAGCTGTCAACTGATCACCACCTGGTGGTGAGTTGGATCAGATGGCAGGGGAAGATGCCGCGTAGACCTGGCAGACCCAAACGCATAGTGAGGGTCTGCTGGGAACACCTGGCAGAAGAACCTGTCAAGACGGTCTTCAACTCCCACCTCCAGCAGAGCTTTGACCGTGTCCCGAGAGCAGTAGGGGACATTGACTCCAAGTGGGCCTTGTTCCACTCTGCGATTGTTGAGGCAGCTGTTGCTAGCTGTGGTCGCAAGGTGGCTGGTGCCAGTCGTGGTGGCAACCCCCGTACCCGCTGGTGGACACCAGAGGTTCGGGGAGCCGTCAGGCTGAAGAAGGAGGCCTACAGGGCGTGGCTGGTCTGTGGGTCTCCGGAGGCAGCAAACAGGTACCGGATAGCCAAGCGGGGTGCA